CAAACCTAAGTGGATGGATCCGAGTCGTCACATCAGACAATCTCACTCTCTGGTGGTACCCTAAAAGGACCAGCTCCTTCTCCTCCTGACAGGTTACAAAATGATCGCATTTGCTGACACGTCTTCCGCACAACTGCGTCAGGGCCTGAGTCCACTTTCCTCGCAGGAGATGAATGGTCTGCCTCATCCTCATTTATCACTGAGGCTTGGCTAAGATCTGTCTCGTTTATTTCTTTCCTTCCCCACTAGAAAGGCTGTGCCCCGACATTAATTCTTCCACAATGACAGCTAATTCGGACTTCACACGCCATATTTACTCCGAAGGTATGAAGATTCTCTGTGCTCCCCAAATAAATAAACAAAAAGAGACTGTCACGGTTTATTAAAGTGAAGCTAATTATGAACACTGACCAGTAGCACTAGGTGGCTTGATGTAAATCCCAGGTGCATTTACCCCGCTTTTCTCTGATAGGGGCAGAAGTCAAGAACCCTATAGGTCCCAGTCCCTGTCAGAGTCTCTACTTACCATCAGCCCCCTCATTAGACTTGCAAAGGAATCAGCAAATGAAACTCAGCCGTGAAACAGATTAAAAGCATGAAAACTCTTTAAAATTCTGCCTTAAGTAATATACAGTAATGTGCCTTCAATGCAGCTTGGCTGACAACCATTTTATTTGTGGGTTGAGGGCCCTCAGGCACCCAAGATGCTAATTTACAAAAAGGATTAGCTGGGATGTTAGTTGTTTAATTTGAGGTGTGGTTAATAAAACGAATACACAGGAATCAAACCTATCAAACCTCCAGCCTCCTGAACTGGGCTTCCCTCATTTCAAGGCAAAGAGGAGCATGTTCTGCCCGTGAGTTTCCTCAACTACTCATGAGCTTAATTCACTCAGCACACACCTGGTCCCCGAATGACTTGACCTCATTGCTGTCTCTCAGGGGTTCCTAAATACCAACTCTTCAGTCTCACCTATGTGTGTGCACAGAGCTTCTCCAGCTTCCATGGACTTAACCTGTTTGGGCAATGGTGCCGGACAGCTACACATTCAAAAGATAACTGTCCGAAGGATCTGTACATTTAATTTGCAAGAAAATCATGGAGAGAATGCACAGTAAGCCTACAATGAAAAGTTATATATATATATACATGAGTCCTGGTGTGGCGCTGTGGGTTAATGCGCTAGACTGCATTATATATAATATATATATATCCTCAACACTCACAGAAGCAGCAGTCAAGAAATCAAACGACATATTGCATTAGGCAAATCTGCTGCACAAGACCTCTTTAAAGTATTGAAGAGCGAGGATGTCAGTTTGAGGACTAAAGTGCACCTGACCCAAGCCATGGTATTTATACACATGTGAAAGTTGGACAATAAGTAAGGAAGACTGTGGAAAAATTGATGCATTGGAGTTACGGTGTTGGAGGAGATTTTAAAGGTACCATGGACTAACAGAACAAACAAATCTGTGTTGGAAGAAGTACAACCAGCTTATTTCTTAGAAATCAAGATGGCTAGACTTCGTCTTTCTTATTTCATACATGTTATCAGGAGGGCGCAGTCCCTGCAGAAGGACATCATGCTTGGTAAAGTGGAGGGTCAGCGAAAAAAGAGGAGACCCCCCATGAGATGGATTGGGACAGTGGCAGCAGTAATGGGCTCAAACATAGCAGCAATTGTGAGGATAGTTCAGGACCAGCCGATTATTTCGTTCTGTTATCTATATGGTCATTGTGGGTCAGAATAGACTCGACAGCACCTAACAACAACCATCTAACAAGAAAGTCCCAAATACGGAACTTCATGGGAGTGGGGTCTCCTTCGAGTACTACTGGGTCTTCTGCTTGATGCTAGGACAGTAAAGGTCCCTGTGGATAAACAGCATGCTGAGGGCGTTCAGCAGAAGAGGGCACTTGATTTCAGACCGAAAGTGAAGGCAGTTGCTGTTGAGTCTTTGCTGTGTGCCAGATTAGAACATTAGGACTGCTGACTTTTTGTAAGTGGATCACCAGATCTTTCTTCTCAGGAATCTACAGATGGACTGGGACCTCCAACATTTCCATTAGCCGCTGAGCACGTTCATCATTCCCACCACTCAAAGATTCTGCTTCAAACAGATCTTTTGGATGAAAAATTTCAAAGGGCAAAAAAGAGCTAGAACAGAGCTGGTGGTCTGGACTTGACTCTGGTGAGGCCATCAACCCTC